ACCATGGTGTTGACGTTGGTTCACGTCGTTCACAGTTCACAGTTCAGTTCTGGTCGCTCGCGGAAGCATCTCGAAGCAGCCAACAACAAATAAATGCACGCCACAGAGCGCAAACGATCCTGAGGAGAAAATAGCGTTTTAATTTGTCAGACTGTCGCGTCGGAGTCACAAATTGAGGTACACTTGTTTAACCGTAATCGCATGAATCGGGAGAATACGATGACACGTGTTTATTGCGCGTCGTGTTTTAGGGACCCACGGTTCCTTTATTCGATTGTGCAATCGCGCGAATAATATACATCTCTATTTATAGCAACATTAGCAACCTGCCGAGTCAGTACCGAGCTCGAGCTCAACGGGGATGGGAGCGAGATCGGCGGCAAGTGTGCGCGCGTGAAGATAGAACGCGTCCGGACAATCGTGGAACCAACGGTAGACACCGCAAGGAGAAAGGGTTGGGCGAGGTCGCGCGCGATATACCGGTTCGTTAAAACTGTCAGGAAGATAATCTAGAGGAGTACAGACCGCGAGGAAGCTAGTAAGAAGAAGGGAAAAGCTCGGAGAACAATACGCCAAACAGATTGACGGAGTTTCCCTAAAGGGGAAAAATCCCCCCCCCCCCAAATAGCATCCGGACAATGTTCTACAACTCGAGTTAATTCGCGAGACTTCATTCAATTGACGCGAGTATGAGCGGCATCGACAGCAAGACGGTCGGCGGTTCGCCGCTGCCGGCGGAAAAGCTGCCGGAATGCTGGAACCAGGAGGAGAGGATGAGCGCGCTGTTCTCGCCGTTTCGCAGCAGGTCCGCAAATCCGCAGGACTGGATCTCCAAGTACAAGTTCTGGAACGACCTGATACACGAGTGGCTCAAGCACACCATGCAGTGCAGCTTCTCCATCGTCGACTTGAACCAGGCCTTCAAGCGAAAGGGCTGCGCGCCGCTCTGCCTGGCTACGGTGATCGAGGAGCTTCTAAGGTAGCCGTTCAACTGTTAAATTGATATATCAAACGCCTTTGTCGGATACTAGAATAAATGTGGGACGCAGTTAAAGATTTAACACTTCAATGTTATAGAGGAAAGTCCTCTGTCACGAGATAAGTTTCTAATATGAGATGGAGCAGGTTTTCAATCATTAATCTTCTTTCGCAACGATTACACAATCTAACAATGATTTTTCCACTAGATTTCGCTTGAAGATACATTCATGGTGGAATCAACTGATGATGCCTATTAATTTATCAGAAACTCCGCTATCTCTTATTAGTATCCTATCTCATAACAGAGGACTTTCTTCTACATCTTGCTTTATGTATATTTCATGCAATTTTCTAGAAATAACGAGATAATTCAAGAGGCTGACTTTACGAAAGAGCCATGCGAAACGTGGACGGCGTGGTCAATCGACGTATTTGTGAAGAGGCCAATTAGCTGGTCGTTTTCCATGGTGAAGAGTTACGTCGTAGGCCAGAAGACCAACAACACGGAAGTCAGATACATACACCTGCGGATCGTGCGAGAGTTAGGCGACGTCATCCTCTCCATCGCTCAAGTTAGAAAGGATAAGGTCCTGTTCCCGATATCGGAGATAGTGGAGTACTGCAGGAACCAAACGAAGAAGCAGATTTCCGAGGGCGCAGTGAGATTAACATTGGAGTGGCTGAGACGAAGGAAAAGGGTGGCCTTTAAGAGGAGCTCCAATCCGAACGGCGAAGTACTAGTTAAGATCTCTGTGCAAACGGCGAATGAAATCACCGAGGTGGACGAGGGTATGTATAAACTGACAAAACAGGAAAACGAGCTGATCAAGGAAATAGAGCTTATGGAGCAAGAGAAGCTCAATATTGTTAACGAGGCCAAGTCGTACCTGGGGAAAGAGTTGCGTCAGATGGCAAAGACGCGGTTGAGGAGGAAAATGGAACTGGAGAAGACCATAGAAAAGCGCGCGCAGGCGCTTGCGAATCTGCGCGTTCTCATCACCAACATTGAAGACGCGCATTCCAACTCTGCTGTACTGTCTGCCTATAAAACTGGGTCCGATGTATTGAAGAAGATCGGCCAAAACGGTCTAACGGAGTACGGCGTTAGAGACGTTATGGACGACATCAATGAGGTAAGCGACCATACATGTTACACGTATTGTAATACAATATTGTGATTATAATAAAGAAATGCAGTAATATCTACCATTCGATGACCAGGTTTTAGAAGAGAAAAAAGAGGTAGATACGGTCTTGTCGGAGACATTGAGCAATTCGGACTCCGATATCGAATTGGAGAGGGAATTGGCGGAATTGCTGGCCGAGGATGAAGAAGTTTCCACTGTAGCTCCTGATTCGGATTTGGAGATTGAAAGATTGAAGCAACGCTTGCAAGGCTTACGTATGGAAGGTAAATATTGTAAAACTCATTATTATACATATTTCATACAAAATAATGGAATATATGATATACACAGGTTTGGTTTCACCTGACAAAGATGTAGCTGCACTACCGGCTGTACCATCTGGTAAAGAAAAGTCACTGAAGGAACTTGAGTGCTTGTAAGTTGCAATAGCGAATTTATATGATACTGTACCATAACTTTACGGAGTTGTTCGTCTCTCATTTTTTAGAAATGCTCTATTGCATAACGGGAAATATATTTAAATGTACATTATGTATAAAAGTAATGTGTAAAGATTTTTTTTATCGAATCTGTCTTGTACCTTGGCATATAGAAAGTTGAAATAGAAAATATGTATGACATAACTGAATTTCTATTTCTGCTCCATTCCACTCCTTGTGTCGGTTACCTACATTTATGTTGTAAAATAATGAGCATTTTTTAATCCAGAAAATAAGCGCAGCTAGAATTGTAAAATTAATCTCGTTTGTCACACACGTGCAAGAAATTATCTCTCGAGTCTTTAATCGTTCCATTCAACATAATTGCAACTTCACACACTTACGCATTCAGTAAAAAATATAGATAATTCACCAAGTGTAATATAGATTTACATGGCACGAGATAAATGTTTTTTTCGGTGGTTGCACGTAAAAATCGGTGGTTCCGTCAATAAATTTAAGAACATCTCGTTTGAGACTGTTCTGAGCACAATACATGCGTCTGATTTTGTTCTATTTTTGTAATTACATCTTGTATCCATGAAATATGTCTGGATATTTCTGTGTACAAGGAATACAAGTTGTGGTCACAATGAGCACTTCCACCCTCCTTTATCGTGCCGAGGGAAACGCTAACAATACCTCGGAGGTACCACAAATTATTAGTTTTAAAGACTAATCCGCCGCCGCTGTCACCGTCGCAAACGGAAGAACCTGAAACACACGATGCTCACGTAAGTTAGCTTTCAAATTTTCGCGTCTTTGCGCGAAATAATGATTCTGAAATGTTTGTTCCTTTCTCTTCCCTCGTTACCATTTCTTGTACAATATCTGTTTAACCTGAAGTAGCTGTACACGTTTTACAAATACATTTCTGTAAAATTTGGTAAAAGAAAGATTGCAGCGTAAGAAATTCAATTGTACTTTTACCAACCATTTGTGTAGCCTGCGCAAAACTTATCGTTGGTGATAAATTGTTCCGTGTTAACACTTTGGCTCGCAGATTTGCATTGGCTGAGTGGAATTACAGGCACCGTCAGGGCCTGCAGGATTGCGCTAGAGTCGCCGAGTGCGGTTCTACCGAATCCCGCTACCTTTCCATACGAGCCCGCTTCCAGCACGCTACTATCGCTTAAAGTATCTATGCATACGGGGACCAACCAAGCTGACAGTACAAACGGCGTGGCGAGTTGTAGCACCGCGATATCCCAGAGATAATTTCCTATGAGTCCTAGATAATTGCGTACGATGTAAATTTGTTTCACCTGTAAGAAGGCATGCGTGAACATTTCGATCCACAATATCTTATACAGATTAGCTTACATCGTATTACATGCATGTGCAAACCTGATTTCTCTTAACGAGATTTGGATTGTGAAAGGGATAATCGTAATCGCGATAAACGTTCCCCGTCAATATGTAAATTTTGCTGGCATCGACCGGCTGCCTGGTTCTCTCGTCGTATACGCAATGCGCCGCCGTTATCAAGAGATTTTCCTGAACGATAGACGCTCCACAGAAGAATTTCTTTGAGCCTAGATCGTCGCGGTACAGCGTGGCGTGCCACGGGAATTCCGTGATATTCGGTCGCACACCGCCTACAATGGTCGGTATAACGTTGGACGGTAGAGTGCCGCATACTACAACAAACATTTCGATTGGAGGAATCGTCTCGTCGTGATAACACGAGAGCGTACTGGGCACTCGTGATTATACGAAAAAGAAAGAAAGAAAGAGATAATTCACAGTAACCGTAACTCTATCGTGCGTCATTGCGATAATTGGATGGGAGGGAGATTGAGATAGGTATATCGAGGTCACGTGAAAGTTTATTAAATATATTCGGTGTGTGCATACGTATATGTGCGTGTACTTAACTTAACAATATAAAAATTTGTTAAATACATCGATATATAAAAAGTTATATCTTAATACTTTCATTAAAGCCTTGGTTCTTTGGGAAACAATTTCAAAATGCAATTTAAGTAGAAACTTAGGTGTGTGAATTATCTCAGTGGGGCTAACGACGCATATGAGTATCATGCCGACTATATAAAGACGTTAAAAATTGTACTATCATTCTTTTATAATCTTAGGACCACTGCCAAGGGTCATCCGTCGCTCTATTATTGCTCGGCGTTGGTACGCTAACATCTATGTTCGGATAACTCGGATTTTTGGCATTCGTGTGTATAATGACTTTATCGTCCAAAACTTCAATAAACGTATTATTGTTCCTATCAAAAGTGGTGTGGAACGTAAGCTTAGTGTCGTTAATGTAAATATTTATCGTGAGCGGACCTGGAATACATCGCATAGGCTCTGGTTCCCATTGACCGTTTGCATTACATCTCACATTTTTTCTTTGTCCGGTCAGCTGATCAGTTTCAGGCCGGTAACTGTTTTCGCATGCCAATACGGCTTTTGTCTTTGGCGGAACTGGAGATTTGCACGATATCCATGCATCGTCGTACGTACATTCGGCTCTGACTGACGATGTGGCTAAAGTTTTGCAGCGTATTTCTACCAAACAAACATTTCGAATAATTAACACATAATTATGATTCTCATCGTTCCGAACAACGATTCCTTTGATTGAAATATCTAGTATGTACGAATCCACGCTCATTTGTCCATGTATTTCCCCCTAAAATAGTTCAATACTTAAAAAACGCACGATCATTTGTTTAATACCTGTGCAAACTGGTATATTCAGCCATTTTCCCTCGAAACTGCAGCTGACGTCGGTCGAGCCTCTTATTTTATATCCCGAATTACAAGAGTAGACGAGATGAGATCCTAGTCCCAGCTCCGTTCCCTCAGAAACGGTACAGTCCTCTCCGTCTGGGCACTGCGACCGATGTAACTTCCAGCGGCCGTTCTGCGGTTGCGGAGGCGCTCTGCAAGCGTTCGCGCTAGGTGTCACGAAAGGAGGTCTTTGCGTAGGAGTCGGTTGAGTTCCTGGTGTCGGCCGAGTTCCCGATGTCGGTCGCACCGTCGGCAGGACTGACGGCCATGTAGTTCTACACAATCCCGGATCCTCGTCCGAGCTGTCTGCGCAATTGGCTACTCCGTTGCACTGTAGATCACCGTCGATACAAGCTCCGTAGGCGCAGCGAAAGGTTGTCGAAGGACACCTGCGAACAAATCGGTAGACGTTTACTGCTCGTATCAGTTGCTTCGTCAATGTACAACTACAGGGAGAGAATTTTTTCCTTAAAATTTATCCTGAAAATCATGTAATCGTGGGACAACATAGCATTTCGAACAATTTCATGAGAGTTTTTTGAAATTTTACCATACATTGTACTAGTAATTATGCTTTAGTAGAGGAATTCCTTTATACATACATTTCACTAGTAGAATGTATGGTAATACTTGAAAAAACTCTGGTAAAGGTCTTCAAAATGCCATGTTGTCCCACGATTACGTGATTTTCAGGGTAAATTTTAACAAGAGAAAATTTCCTCCGTGTATGAATCGTGTTCTAGGCGTCTATAAAAGAAGCTCACTGGAACCGGCTGCATAATTCAGATCTTTCGTCGGAGCCGTCCGCACAATTTCGAGTCCCGTCACACACGTCGATTTGGCTAATGCACTGGTTGTTGTTGCACGTGAACTCATCTCCTTTACAATAGCGGGTAGGTCTTTCCGTTTGGTAGCTCGTCGAGTTCCTTGCGCACTGGGGCTGCGTTTCGTCGCTGTTGTCGACGCAGTCCCGGACGCCGTTGCACACGCTGTCCCCGTTTATGCAACCACCGTACTTACAGCGGAAGGCGTAAACGGGACACAGAATCTCTGGCTTTTTGCACTCGGTCTCCGTCTCGTCGGACGAATCCCTGCAGTCTGGTCTGCCATCGCATAACAATTCGCCGGCTATACACTCTCCATTGTGACATCGAAATCTCTCTAGCCTGGTTAAAATGATTGAATTAGTTGACGCACACCTGAGCATCGCGTTACTTGGACGCGCTAATACTTACCCGCAATCATTATAAGTTTGCGTATACCCAGAATTAATGCAGACTGTAAAATTGAAACAAACATACTTTCTAAATTATCTATTCCTATTGTTCTACGTGTTGAGTAATTGTGCTTGGGTTGTAATCATTTGTCAAATTACTTTATTCAGCAAGGAGTGTTAATTAGGTTTTTTTTCCCAGTAACGTGTAGAAGAATCCTGTTCGACGCTCGTATCTTTTGTAATACAGAAAACAATTACGGATTGATTGATCATATCGGCTAACAACGTTAGGGAAAACTGCAATAAATGCGATAGAGACACGCGTTACGTATCCGTGTACCATCTTCACTTATTATCTGTTCAATGTAAGTAAACATGTAAGCGAGATAGACTCTTCTACGCTGGGGTTCAAGGTCACTAAACTGGTTTCTGAAACTGGTTAAGATTACTTCGGAATTTTCTTGGAATCTACGAATATACAATTGCCACGAAATATCAATTAAAGTATAACGCAAAATTCTTTCCAACAGACGCGTGATAAATAAATGCAAGTTTTACCAAATTTTTGTACAAATTGTATAGATCATTTAATCAAGGAAATATGCAAGCCGAATAAACTTTTGTAAGTTAGGTAAATTAAAACTTGCAAGTATTACTCGATTTCTTTTTAATAATAATTAAATGTTGCATATTACGGCATTTGTGTGATTTCGTGACTGTGGAACGTGTGGAAATACATTGTCGGAATGAATCGAAACTCGCTGACGAACATGAAATAATGTTAACCAATAAAAACAGTTGCAAGATTTTTAAATATCTTCACGAGTAATTTACCAATGTTATTTTATCAATAATCCAAAAGAATATGTTATTTAATAATTATGTAATATTCCGTTGCGCTACATCTAACTGATAAATAAAAGATCTTCGGGGGAGAAAATCGTGGTACAAAATTTTCTTATAAAGTTGCAATCACAACACTTTTTATCGATATCGCGATGCGGTTATTTACTGCAAGGTTGGCGTCACAATATGTTTCTTGCTTACCAAAAAGAATTATTAGTAATCCGTGAACAATCATGTGAATCTGTTGAACAATCCGCATGGTGAAGCACACCGTGCGCCAAGTGCCAGCAGTGCAATCCGCGCCTCCTTATATCTCGGCGCTCGGTCACTCACTGCGATTATCCATTGAATATGCTGCATCGCGCGAGACTGGAATTACCCAACGCAGAGGCAAAGCACGCGCGTCATCCTCGCGCTTGTAGTAGAAAGTACACATATGAGGGAAAGAACTTGTCGGACTTACACGCTGCAAAAGTATCTAAAATACAAACAAATCGAGAGAGGATAACAGTACACGACGACCGTATACATTTTCAATTCGGTTCAAACAACTTTGCGAGACAGGGACGATCTATATTTTACAACAGGATGTTTGACTGAAGGACATCGAAAGCACTACCGTCTTCAGTTTTGTAACCGCCAGGAAACTTACAATTAATCCTGCATAGAGACAACTTTCGCGATAATTTAAAAACTCTTTAATTCTTAATGTACATATTTGATACAGAGACGGAGCCGTGTACTTTATATCTAGGCATTATGAGATACAATCTCTTGTTCTTTATCCTCCGCAGGTACATCATCATCCACAAGTACATCTCTATTAGCAAACGAATAAAAAGGAAGACCAATCAGCCATTTTAACGTCCTGTAATATAAGTTAAGGTATTCATATGAATAGAAAGGTTTATTACAGAGGTGTCTTTAGAAAGGATACGTTTGTTCTGAAATTTCGGTGTCCACCATATGCTGCAAAATGTATGCCTTCTGAAACTTTTCTACTTCCTCTTCGCACTCTTTCCAATCTAACGTTTCGTGGAGACCGTCTGTGCCATATCGTTTACCATAATTATCGTAATGCACCTGTTAATATATTAATCTGTTTCATAATTCCTTAGAAAATTTAATATTAATCTGACACAAGAGATTATAAGTTTAATATTAGTTATTGTATTAACAATTTTTCTTTTAATAAAAATTAATCTTAAATAATTTTACATGTGCGGAGTATACGCGCTATCAAATTGTCTTACATGACACAGACACAATCCTAAACTGGGTGCAAGCGCTATGTCCATCTTATCCATTGTCTTGAACGCGTCATTGATTGTCTCCTCGGGCACCATGTTTCTCGCAATTGCGACTACAGTTGCGACCATTTTTCTGATTTGATGCAACATAAAGCTTTGCCCTTTAACTTCCAACACCGCGAATTCTATGCCGTTCGCAACGAACGTTTCTGGGCAGCAGAAACTTATTATGTAGCGTTGCGCACGTGGATCTAATGGTCTCCTGAATGAAACAGAATACGCTTCAATTTTACATACTGAAATGAAAGTACGTTGTTTCGAATTGTCATCGACTTACACTTTCGACGTGAAGTTATGAAAGTTGTGCGAACCTTCCATAAGCTTTAAAATCGAATTTAATCTATTTAAACATTCCGGAGATAATTTGTACTCGGTGTATGGTTTTTCATCAATAATCGCCAACTGTTTCATTCTCTCGTCTTCGTTGACTTCCTCCCCAAGTTTTAACAAGCTCTGATCTTCGGGTGCAAATGCAAAGGAAGGAATGATGTATCTGTAAGTACGCGCATCACACTGATTTTTACTGTTGAAACCCTTTGTCACTCGCTTTATTCCGAATACTCGGATTACGTCAGGTAAGAATTCATTTATCACCGTCTTATCAGTATTATCCGCTGCAACAAAGTTTAACATTTATAACGTAACAGAATAAGCATTCGTATAATTAAAATTTGGGATTAAATAAAGATTTGTGATTGAAGTTGGCTGTTGAAATAATAATGATATAATATTGGATTCATATTGGCAGTGCATTGGCCAATATTAAGCGTGGTCTACAATGGCAGTAGGAGTAGTGGATTAAGGCTGTAAGACGTCGGAGTAAGCTCGTGTTTCCGGTGTAGTAGGCGTAGAGTAAGGCTGTAAGCAAAATGGTTCAATTCCATTTCGTACAACCTACTCCCTTACTCTCAGCCACTGATAATCAGTTCACGAAATAGGTTAAAGTTGAAACCCTGATCTCGTTTGCGCCTGTTCACAGGCCGAACCCACCACCTCCGACCGATAGATCTCTTCGTTTGCATAATACGCCATTGAAGAGTCAAGAGCTGACTCCATAATAATATAAATAACACAAATCCAATTCTTCGCACATCCATATACACCAACAACGGTAACATTTGTGTAATAACATTGGTTAACACTGATTGGCTCATTATAATCCTTACTCTACGCCATTGTAGACACTCGGGCGTAAAGGGACCTTAATCCTACAGCCTATGTCTAACGCCTACTTCTTTAATCCACTACTCCTACTGCCATTGTAGACCACACTTTAAAGAAATGTAATAACAATATCGGTCTAATACTGATGCAATATTAGACCGATAAAGATATATGCTAGATTAGCAGTTGAAATATTCATCTTACGCAGCTTCAGCGAGACAATCTGCCTAATTGCAGATACTCCTTTGTCCGTGCGTGCAGCTCTTTGGAAATGAATCGCACGTACATTCTCAAACTGTTGTGCGGTGATCAAGTTTGCCTTCAGTAAGGCGGCGACCAAGTCTTCCTCGATAGTTTTCATACCAGGATTTCTCTGCATGCCGTAATAGTCTTTACCAACGTAGCCCAACAGCATGGCGCAATTCCTCCTCTTGACTCTTTGCACCGCTTCCGTCCCCGTCGCTTGCGCCGTTTCTGTCTCTGTCGTTTCTACCACTTCTGCCTCCGTCTTTTGTATCTTGGCTTCGTTCTCCTCGCCGTCGTCCATGGGCCTCTTAGTTCCGTGCACGGTACTTACGTCAGCGTTTAGCTTAGAGTCGGTTGTGGTATGCATCGTGACAGACACGGTTCTGCGACAAATGTTTCCTGAAGGGAGAAATTTACACGGGCATTAAATAACATCTGTTAATCTGCCGTATTAGCTTCAATACTTTGCGTTTACCTAATTGAATCTTTACCCAATAAAGTGCGGATTTGCTACAGAAGCGGTGTCCTGTTCTATGCAACATTGGCGGCGTCAGTTCTTGCTTTGCAAATAATTCCTACGTTGTTCGGGGGTCTCCTTCTCGTCCGGCTGAAAAATCATGCCGTTCGCAGCATCGCTGCGGAAACGTGGATGTTTAACTCAAAGTTTATCTATACACAAGCCGATTCGGCACGTTACCTCGCTCGTTGGTCCTGGAACACACGTGAACTCTAGAAGACGCACGTCGTTGGATTTTGGGGCCCGAGTCGAGTGCAAAAGTACAGAGAAACACGTCCGTTCCCTTGTTGCTGAATTTATCGTTCAATTATTGTAGCCAACTGCTCGTCGCCGTAACAGTTTCGTCGGCGAACGTAAATATGCAACGCTGGATCGACACCAGCGATCAACGTCGATAAAACCGGCCGTTTAATCGCCGTGGGAACAAACGCGGCCGCGTTCGACTTGGAAAAGGTGCGATTGCGCTGCACCTGGCTCGGGCAGCAACTCTACTCCCCGCTGTGTCTATGGCTGCCTGACATAACCTGAAACGCGAGCGCGAGGCAGAAACGCGAGATTGAACGAAAATATCGTGGTGACTCGAATGGTCGTTTCTTCCTCTCTGCAGTTCTCCAACAGCGAAATTGTCGAAAATGCTGTTGAGACGTGCAGCTCCGATATTTACCTACGGAAAATTGTTGCAGGTACGCGACGTTTGCTCCGCTTTCCTGGAATTAACTCGGCTTAAATAAGTCGCCTTTAAGCCGGTATTTCAAGTTAACAAAATTCATCGGGAATATATAACGTTTATATGTAGAGAATTTTATTCGATATTAGTAGTTTTTTAAAAACGACCTACACTGGCCGATGTTTTTATTTAAAAAAACTACACATCGTCGGTTTTATACTCCTGGCGACGTTAAATCTGTTTGTGGGAATTTTATTTATCCAAATGGACGTTCAAGCGGCTGGAAATCTCTTTCAGGACAATCTACCGGTGTTGGTCGCTGCTGTTAATTGCCCCAACAACTCTGCGCAAGTACGCTACATAAGGAAGCACTGGGATCCAAGATGGAAGAAGGAAAGGAGGCAAAAAGTTATTAAAGTAGAGCTCCCAAAGTTTGACAAGGAGGAAGACGATCCTACCAATATGACCAAGGAACAGATACGATCGCGTATGAAAGAGCATGGTTTCCTGCCGCAGAAACCTTGGCAGGAGAGACCGGCGTACATCAGCAATACTTCGACAATTTTCGAGTCTTACGTTGCTCCAGAGGGAGACGGAAAGTTTTCTGTCATCACCAAGGAGGTACGCGCTCTCCGCTTAAATTTTTTTTATCTAATTTAGGTACGAGATGTACGTAATAATGCTTTGCTAGGCTTAAAATACAACACGGAGTGTCGCTCTTTAGTCATTTGTTCTGTAATTGAAACGTAGGGAGTGAAGCAAAAGTATACGTTTATGGAGAAGAAGGGCAAATCTTTAATGGCCCTCAGAAAAATCAAGTCGTTTGACGACACGTTCAAGACATCATTTTTTCTGGAGGAGGCCTTGGAGATCTATCAGAAGGCACACGAAGCTCTGGCCGCGTAAGAGAGAAATGACGTTTTTGTACCTTTTACAATTGCACACGCCTAAGTTGTGTACGGGGTATTCGAAAAGAACGGGACCGCCCTGTTATCTCCAGAAGTACGCAACTTTTATTCGGGCCATTTTCCGCGAAAGTGTGTACTTCCGGAGAGAGTCCCATTCTTTTCGAATACCCTGTATAAAGGCATTACTAGCAATTGATACATAGCGCGTGCCTCTTTTACTTATTTCTAGCGATGTCACTAAGCAAGTCAATCTTTTTACAGCAAGAACAGACAGGAGCTATTAAAATATGTTACAGAACTGGTCTATCCTGTAAGTTCAAGATATATTTCGTGTTCTTGTTAATTTAAAATACACGTTACATCTTATAATTGTGCCACTTACGTTTCTTTCTTGCATCTTTTTAAAGAAAATAACACACAACATGATGAACAAAACCGTACATTGGAAGTTCCTAGAGTCTTTAGAGCCGGCCCGTCTCGTGCACGCAAGGACTACGTCTGTACTAACAAAAGAAAACGTTTTCGCACAACTCACTGTCCGGTTCCACACGCAGCAGGTTCAGTTCCCTGTAATTAATTCTTTCTAACGGCGCGAAACGACTACGTAACATTTCCCTCTTCGTTTACAGATTTTAGCAATTTACGATAGGTTTGGCCGTCTCATACAAGGCAGCGAAATTCTGCGGAAAGACGTATTAGAATACATAGTATTCGAGAAGCATTTAGCTAACGAGTATGGCGAATGGCGAATTCATGCTAAGATTATACCATCCTGGATGACATCGACGGACGTAGCGGAAGGCACATATGTTCTTCCGAAAAAGGAACCCGAGCCAACCGAACCGCATCCCGTAGAAGCTACGCTAACGGAAGTCACGCCAAAGGACACACCGAAGGATGTGACGAGCGCACAACCTTCGTGAATCCACAATGTATATGTAAGTTGTTTTAAGTGACGTTTATTTGTATGACGTTATGAGGTATAAAATATATCGTACTTTATGCAATAATTTAGTTTTATATTCCAACAAAGTTTGCATTAGTACCTGCATTACTTTCCCAAAGTTATTTCAGCTTTGGTAATCAAGAAATCATTACTACAGTTTTAGAATATCAATACGAAATTGATTGTAGTTTAGCAATTTTCTAATGCAATTAAATTACTACTTACACGTGAACCCATAGAATATATTCACGATGCGATATAAATAGAAATAATTACAATTTCTTTAATTTATAAGCAAATACAATTTTCTCGATTATGAGAATAATGAGAGCGGCAATCATCCCACAGCACATCACAGCGATTATTAAAGAAACTTGATGTATTTCAATTGCCTGTGGTGTCTTGTCATCGTCGTAATTCTGTTTAATTCTCTTTTCCAACCAACGATCCTTTAAGAGGTCCAATAATCCAACTTCCATTAATTTAAGTATCCTATTTGTCAAAATTATTAGTACATGAAATGCAATTATAATCTCAATTTGTTGGTAAAGAGAAACTCTATTGATGAATATATACACATCTTAATTATTTATAAAAAGATGAATATCGAGTATCCTATTATAAAATATTTTGAAAATTGTGCTAATTATTTGTTTTAGTAAAACTCTTTCCAGTATTTAATTGATTGTTTGACTTTATCATTTTTTTTCTGAAAATCTATTATCAACACGGTTAGAATTTAAAAAAACTGCAATCTAATTACTATAAAAATATAAAAACATATAAGAATCTTCCTCTATTTAAATGGTTTTTATTTTAATTACAGATATTTGTGCTGTAAATTAAATGAAACCTTTTGATAGAAATTTTACATCTACAGATTAAATTGATTTAAAAGCATTTGTTGCTGATTTTTATAATTCCCAAAATAGTTTATCTAGAATATATTATTTTACTGAAATATTTTTTACCCCAGATCGATGGATTTTTTGTACTTAAAGTTCTTCGCCATACCGGAAGATACCCATATTTTACTGAAAGGTTTTCCAGTGTCAGTCAAGTGACATCTAATATTCCCATTCACTTTATGCATGTCTTCGCCTTGATATATGGCATATTTCTTTTTCTTCGAGGAACATGCCATTTTATGCATGTCCTCAATTGATGACGCTGTTATCAAACGGTTCATCGTCCTTGCTTGTTTAATTGGTTCCACATCAAGTATCTATAAATGCATTTAAATGTCGAGCATTTAGTTATTTCAGTTTTATGCACAAAAAGCCTCAAATCTCTAACGAAGCTACATTAATTATAATCTATGAAATTGTTTACATATTAGGCATTTACTTTTTATAGTTATATACAGTTTTTACACGAGAATTGAGATAAATTATGTCGATACAGTATATGTCAATATATGTACCTTAAACGCGATAGCTCCAGTTGAACCTTTTAGACTGACAACACTGTATTTAGTATTAGCCACCAAAGACTCGAAACTATCAAATGGTGGTATGAAAATACTTTTCGTTATATAAATAAATAATAGAGCACTAAATGACATACATATTATAGAACAAAAAAAGCCCAGTGACACTTCCAGTATTCTCGATTTCCCATTAAAGTATTGAGGAACATAGCCTATCCAAATTAATTGCTATTTTATTTTATCATCATATATATGTGGTACATTTGTCTTATAATGCGTTTATTTCGTTCCTTAATGAAAACGAACAATAATGAAACATTCTAATCGATTATTCATTCACACGTACCTTGATTGCAGAGGCTTCCAAAGTTATAAAATAAGTGTTCGCTGAAAGACACGTTTTTATAATTATCTTCATTTTGTATGCGAACATTCTGTGTCAGAAAAGTGCATAGACTCAGTAGCATATACATAATCAGTATAATACACCATATTTTCCAAGAGAAAATTTTTACCATCCATATATTGTCATACATCATTTCGCGATGAATATATAACTGATTTCTACAAAATTATTTCAGAATCGTCACATATGGCTATGCGTGATTTAATCGATATTAAAGTACCTACTATTATATATTGAATCAATGTTAAATAATCGAATTTTAAAAATTTGGCGATTTAAGTTGACCTGTTTATCCAAAAAGGTATTGAAAAGTCGGCAGCTATAAGTCGCCGGCTAAATGTTTCTACTTTTGGTATCGCGACAGTTTCGTTGCGAAAAATAATTGCCAACAATCCGTTTTTATAAGTCGAATCTTTTTCTGACGTGCCCATGCCGTCTACGTTTACTTTCACTGGCTGCAACCTAATGTGATATTTTTTGGTTACTTCACGCCATTAGCTGGGCTAATGTTGATCTTATAACACAATTTCTTCTCGCAATCCGAGTGCGGTCTTACGTGAAGTTTAGCGATTCGGAAAGTAGGTTCCATATTTCCCCGCAGAGTCCCGTAACCTTCGTATTATTATCGTAGAACTGAAAGAAATGCGGCTCCTAAAATATATATAATCAACGAAATTATCATCCAACTCAAATTACAATTTTTAATGCATCACTACTCAAATAACATCTATTTAATGTTTTTCCAATGTACAAGTAGGTATTTTTCATAGTATCATTTGTCATCATAAAGAAATCCCAATTAAACTTAAAATCTATAACTTTGCTGGTATTCATTTAGTATTATATTATTAAATATCTAATTATTTTTCTTATGGGTTTTGCTGTTTTATAAGAGCATACCTGGAAAGATGTCACAGTTAAGTTCTGTAATTGAAAATTGTGAATCTCGAGTGCTCGATTCTGTCTGAGGCGTTCTTCTTGCATCGTGGCATAAATCGGCACGCTGGAAATTGGTACAAAAGTCTTCTGTTTTCTGCTCCAAATTACACCGTTCATTGTCTCGGGTGATGGCAAAGTTCTATATAATATAGCCAAAAGCAATACTTGTTTTGCATAGATGCGCTGTTAAACGTTTTACAAAGATTTACAGGATTATTACTTATTGGGTTAGAGCGATTTGAAATTTTCTTGTGTGTCCGTGGACATTTTATAACCGGTATTAAAGAAAGGAAGCATTTGTCACGATCGGATTGATTTCAATGATTAGATGAAAAAAGAAATGTATCATCACGTTACTTTAGATAAGATCTTGTTTCACCTGCGTCCTTGGATTATTTTTTTATTCCTGTATCTACTTGTGTATTTTTCTGAATAGATAAATATACGAAAAAACAATGCAAAGTATATTTTAAATCTAACAAAATAAAATAAATAACGACTAAATAAAACCACCATAAAAGTAGATATGTATTTAGTACGTTTACTTTTTAACGCTATCAAATCGTAAGAAATGTCCCATATTGGATTTTATATTACGTTTACGTAATCCACTGTGACTAATCTATTTTAGTCGTTATCGCTACAAAACGAAATGTCATCACGCTTTGACTACTTTATGCTTTGGTGGCACATGTCACCACTAAAGTAATGCGAGTGTTGATCGATCGAAATCCATTTTACGTGCGTCGTAATTTTCGATACAAATACAATTCACTGATAATTAAGTGTTTTACATGTTTTTATACAAACCATAATGTTATTCGTATATTACAAACATAAAGAAATTATCATATCAGTTATAAAGAAATAGAAGAAGTTAACTATAAAGAGACACAAGAGATTTTGCCGAAGATGTTATAATTTTTAAAAAGTTAATATGAGATTTGAATGTCAGTCATATTTTTCCTTTTAAATATTTTCGAAATGCTATTATCTGCGTGCAATCTTCGTATTGTGATAATACGTCATATTTTCCAGAACGTGTATCACAAGTGATATACGTCGTATTGTATAACAAGCCTATTAGAAAGATCAGATAGACTTGGTGCAAATCGAAATGTTATTATCTGCGTGCAATCTTCATATTGTAATAATACGTTATATTTTCCAGAACGAGTATCACAAGTGATATCAGCACCCCGTAGCTCAGTATTAGAAAGATCAGATTGACTTGGTGGAAATCGACCATTTTGAATATTTCCCGTTCCATATGATCCAATCTGATATTAAACCAACGGTCCTCAAGACCATCCAGTAATCCGACTTCTTTGAATTTGATGAGTCTGGAAAAATGAGACAGCGATGCAATTTTTCAGATAATAACGTCTGAAATAATAAATTAATGCGACACGCACGCGGAATTAATGGTCTTCTTATAGCGATAGTTCTTTTGGAGTGCGAACGTTATCCAGGTGTGATTGTAATTGCCCGTGGCTCGAAGCGGGCAGCCGTTTCTGTTCATCGCCATAAATTGGTCCTCGATCTCAAACATCGCGTATTTCTTCATGTTGTTGCAAATCTCATTGTGCATATCCTCCGCGATCTCTATGAAACGCACACGCGCAAACGGATGATTGCCGATCCTGGCTCCATATTTTTGCTAAAATAATAAGTCGCAAATTAGTGTCTGTTTTAGTGTTTTCTTCGTAGACGTTGTACAAAAGAATTAAGAGCAATTCTCAATATTATCTTTTCTTTATTTTGCTTTGATTATAAAACTGCTATTCTAAATTACGGAAGAGAACGTTGGCATAATTTTAGTGTAAAATATAAATCATTAAAATGTTATTTTTACTCTCTGAAAGTAGTAGGAAAAAGATACGTGTACGTATAAGTAATATTTGGCTTTTGGGTTTAGGTACTTTAAGATAATTGTAGAGAAAGGTGCCACGGTCCGCTAATAAGACATATTTCGTATTGTTAATAAGAGATTCTATATCCTTAAACGGCAACTCCATTTTTTTATTTGTCATGATGTATATAAGATGAGAACTAAAGGCTAACAGTATTAGCCATGCGAAAATACTCTTCGATATCGACAAGATCTTGAATTTGTTGTAATAAGCGTCAGGTATGTGGCCTGTAAAAAGAGCGCAGATTATTTCATCTCATAGTAATCTCAATCGTGAAATGCTTAGTTAACATTTCGAAAGAAACGGGCATTTTTCTTCGCTCTATTTCATTGAAAATAAGAACTGACAAATTTTTATTAATTATTCACGAATGCGCCTTCACTTAATTTCTTCCTCAATTGTATTATGCACCTCGCGCGCTCATTATGGTGAACGAATAGAAAACATGATCGCCTAGACTGAAATTTCTGAAGTCTTCTCTTTTGTGTTTGGGCTTGTCCATCGGTACTTTCTGCAGATAATAGCCGACGCAGCTTAAGATGGCGAACAAAGACAGTATATACAACCACATTTGCCACGAAAAGAGTGTAAATATCCATGTATTATCGGACAGCCATTCTGGTCGAACATAAATATGAAACCTAAAACATCAATCAAGTAATAGTTAGTAATTTATTAACTTCAGCTTACAGCCAAGAAGTGGACTTCGTTTACAATATGTTCTTAACTCATTCATTCTTGCATGCTTATTTCCATCCTCCCTATTTTCATCCTTGCACGTTGTGACTAGTATTTCTAATTGCTTTATTTACTTAGTTTACTTGTATTTGAAATCTAAATTTAACAATTCTAAGCTTAGCTTCATTCTATGCTAAATGTTTAGCCTATTTGTACTTACACTTGTATGGATCTTACATTCCTTATTTATACTTTATTAGTCTTATATCATCAATCAAGTAATAATAGTTATATATTGCAAATAAAAAGATTCTCGGCCCGTTTCTAATTTTTGCTAACAGGAAGGGAATTACCCTCGACTAATAATGTCGACACGAGTCACGGGTAAACAGTTTCCTGATTGCAATTTATATTATTAAGTCGAGAACAACGGGTAAACTCACTTGCTTTCCCAGAGAGGTGTTGTATAGTCCACGACGTCTAGGTAAGCTGGATAAAATGCACTTCTCATAACTACCTGCGCTTCGTTTCTCGCGAGCATACCGATCAGACCATTTTGACTACCGTTTTCCAGCCTCTCGCCAAAATTTCGGTCGGTGGTTTTTATCGGGATGAATCTGAGCAATGTAATACTTTCACTTGTAATCAACACACCCCCTCGCGCACGAAATGAACGAGTGCGCAGTGTAAAATTTCAAAGTGTGCGTTATTACGTAAAAAGTGCTGCTGTTCAATCGCATATCGGAGAGAAAATATTCGCCGTAACGTACGTAAAATTGAGATAATCCTCGAGAAGATGCCACAGGTCGCCGATAATACCGTCGAGTTTTGTATCATTGTCGTGAAACATTACCATATTCTTTTCCTACAAGTATAAGAAATAGTCATGATCATTCGGTGATTATAACAGTATTAGGTAATACGGAGAATTGTCAACAATTGGCCATTAAGCTCTTGGCTATTCTGAACCCTCTTTTATCGATAAAAGAGGATTCAGAATACGACCCCTTGAGAAATTTCTACAACATCTCGCGCGGAAGAAAAGCTATACGTTGATCTCTTCAAGACCACGTGTTGGCACCTCGTAATACACAGCTTTCACCACTTCTCCCCTCATGTTCTGCATCTCTATTGCCCGGTGTTTAGCCAGATTCTCCCTTTGAAGAGCGGCGAATTCCGGGATGCTGAACAACTGCACGAATTCCTGCTGTCGCTTGCGCCAGATTATCCCATTCACGGCGCAACAATCCCATATCGTGAGCTGAAAAACTGCGACTGTTAGAACAAATCGCGTAGCCATCCCTCGTGGACTTCTTCCTCGTTCGACTAATTCTGCGCCGATGGTTCTACGTAGGATGCAGACGAATGAGAACAGATAGATTGCAGTTTCCAGCGGCGTACGCAAAATGCGATTTACTATTTTTCTCTTTAATGGATGGATATCATCTAATGGACAGAAATTACGTTATTGTTAAGGATCGATGGCGAGTAGATCAGTCCTTTTTGTCAGTTGATGTATATCAGACAATTAATGTATTTGTATTCATCTAATTCGCTAATCATTTTAATTAGAATAGAATAGCTCAATGCCGTTCAAACCATCATCAGATTACCTTATCTCCTAGCAATAAATCTGTCAAAGAAAAACTAATTATTCATATGCTATTTTAGTACCTAGGTACATTTAGATAATTGTTCCATGTTTCGTAATCTTTTACAATTGTTTTTTTAATCGAATACTTTCAGAAATATAAAATGTCGGTCTTGTTACAGAGTTTGAAAATTTGATGAGTTTTAATATAAGTTATAAGTTTTTATTTTAATATTATTCGCTTAAAACTTATTGTTAATTATATTACAATTATTACAATTTCAATTCTTACAGTATTTATATTGTGGTTTTATGTACTTATGATATAAATACGGAGTTTGCAGAATTCTCGAGTTAAATACCTGCTGGCAAATCTTTTAAGTAAATGAAGTGTACAACATTAAATAAATTAGTGACATAACATAAACGAAAAATTACGATAGCTTGTAAGCATAAACGATTTTTTCAATTATTAAAATTATGAATGCTATTATTGTTCCACAACACATAATTAAAATTATAAAAATCACTTGATTTATCTCAATCGCGTACGACACGTTCATATTGTCTTGATTCTTCTCTATTAGCCAACGATCCATTAATACATTCCACAGTCCAACTTCCTTTATTCTGAGTATCCTGTATATAATAATTACTTATTCACGTAATACGTTAGTATTATGTACGATTGCATTATAATTTGTAATCGACCAAATTGTTTTACCCGATGTCGATGGACCTTTTGTATTTAAAATTCCTTGCAATGCCGGAAGACATCCACATCTTAAGGTAGGGTTGTCCAACTGGTATCACGTGACATACAATTCGACCTTTTGTCCTAAACTCGTCTTCACCTTGGAATACTACATACTTCTTTTCACCTTTTAGACATGCCAATTTAAACATTTCCTCGTCTGTTGATGCAATGACGACGCGTTGTGCGGTCTTTAGCAGCACAAAGTGTTGCTGAGGCATTATCTATACATTTTTAAAATAGCCAATATATAAATTATCTATACTTATATATTTAACGTAATTCGAGGGTTAATAAATTCTAAATTAATCTAACGTACAATAAAACAAATTATATCAAACGTATTTATTAATACCGTAAATACGACTTCGCCAATGGATCCTTTCAAAGAAACAACTTTATATGAAGTTTTGGTCCGGAGAGAGTCCAGATCATTGAATGGCGGTAGAAAGCTAATATTTTTTGTCATGTAAACGAATAATAAAGCTCCAAACGCCATGTACAATATAGAACAAAAGAGGCCCAGCGATATTTCTAATATCCTTGATCTTCCAACAAGTACATTGGGAATGGAGTCTGTTACAATTATTATTTGAATTAATTATGTTTCATTGTTACACGATTAAATATTATTTTATTTCGATAAAGCGATTATAACATGTCACTTTTGTATTATTGCAAAATAATATTAACTTTCTCTCGAAATAATTACAATTCATACAATTGAAACTCTGTCTTCCAAATCACGTGAATTCTAAGGAGATAAAAATTTTTGTACAATATATACTAAAAGATATTACACAATATTTATGAATGTGATTATGTATAATAGTATCTGCATTATCTTTTAATTTAGCAATGTTTACGGTTAAAGAATAGAATGAGACATTCAATCATTCATACTTTGATTGCAGATCATTCCAAAGTTATAAAAAATATGATCGCCGATAGTCGAGCGTCTGCAATTATTTCTGATTCGTGCGAGAATAGTTTGTGACCAAAAACTGCACACGCTCAATAGTAGATACATAATCAATACAAAGCACCATATTTTCCAAGAGAATACTTTCGCCATCCATGTGCTGTCATGTACTATCTCATGTGCAGTGTATAATCGCTGGCTGTAAAATTATTCTAAGATTATTATAGCAATCTGTGTAAAAATAAAATTTATGCGTTGTTAAAAAAATCCCTTTTTAAAGTGCATTGTTTCTTTCTTATTTAGCAGTTTAGAAGATATCACCTGTAAAATCGTCGTGGAGCACAGCACTTAAAATTTAATATACCTGTTCGTCCATAAAGGCGTTGTGAAATCAAAAGCTACACGTAAAGGATTCGCAAAATTGACTTTTGGTATCACGTTGGTTTCATTGCGCATTATTATACTTAATAATCCATGCTTCAACGCGGATTGGTTTTTCTCAAATACGTACAAGGTTTTATTTGACCTCACTAGCTGTAATCTAATAAGAATATGAAGAATTCTTTGACTACATTGTCTACCGTTAAACTATGCCAACAATTAATCTCATAATACAATAAATTATGGTTTGATTAGAGTTTAATCTTACGTAAAATTCAATTTTTCAGAAAGAAGATTCCACAGTTCACCGCAGAGTCCTGTGATTTTCGTATCTTCATCGTAAAATTCGAGAAAAGGCGGTTCCTACAATACATAATAAAATTATCACTTAGGCTTCGCTGTTAGTTTATACTAGTTTGTAATTATCAAATAAATTATTAAATTGTAAGAATAGTAAATAATTTAGTATTGTTTCCTGAAATATAGAAGAATTTTTCCCTCTTGTATTACCATAGCGACCACGTTAAAAATACTGCACTTCTCTCGTTACTTGATCCAAGATACGTGATCTACGTCGCAACGAGAAATGACTCGTCAATCGATATCGAAACGATGTTGAATCGACTAATTATCTAATTATACTTTACTAAAAATTCCTATTACAATAAATTGTTACAATAAAGTTACGGATAAAGTTTATACATTTAATATATAACTTTAGATGTACAGACTTTTTATTATACGAAGATTTTCTAAATAAGATTATCGTATTATTCCGTATTATGAATTATTGGATATTAATTGTAATGAGAGAAGTGTATATCGCGAGCGCGTAGGAAATTCAGGGGAAAGAAACTGTTCAAAAACTTAGCCATTAGAGCTTCATGAAAGTGTACCTGTAAATATGTTAGAGTCACGTTCTGCAATTGAAAATTGTGGGTTTCCAGTGCTCGACTTTGTCTAAGACGTTCTTGTTGCATCATGGCAAACTCCGGCACGCTGGAAATTGGCACGAAAGTCTTCTGCGTCCTGCTCCAAATCACGCCGTTCATTGTTTCGGACGATGAACAACGTTCGACGTAATCGGGAATAACGCTCGTTTTCGACAAAGAGCTTTTACAACGTGTTTTGTTGATTTGCAACGGTATATATGAGCACGGCATAATTACGAAAATTATGATTATCGTATCCTTGATATAATCATGATTTCTACAATTGTACTACGCAAGAATAACATGTCATCATTATTGCAAATCGGCATTATTCGCGTATAATAACAAAACAACAGATAAAAGAGAGAAATTAGAGAGATTAATAGCGTTTGATATACCCAGCGAGAAATGACTTGTCGATCGATGTCGAAACGATGTCGAATCGACATCCTCAAATTTACGTCGATTAAGTTAACATCCTATTTAACATTCCTTCCTGAAATTCTTTTATGCAGGAGATAATTTAACTGGAGGCAACTCTCTTTACAGCTGAAAAAAAGGATAAAATATAGATATTTTTAAATATTTATATATTAATATTGCATTGATGCATATCCATAAATTATTCTTTGAGTAAAACTTCTGATTTAATAAAAGCAAATACTATTTTATTATGTTGTATATAGACTGCAAGATTATGTACACAGTAGAAATAGATAATGTATTCGATACATTTGCTTTGTAATGATTTTAACACAGATATCCAGCAGTATATTCTGCTCATGTCATTTATTAATGGCTGAAAAATTTTATCTTCTATGATTTGTAGAATAAACACGTACCTTTTCCCGACCAGATTACTTGGTGCTTTTAGCGTGTCGATTTGTTATCACACAGCGACGCTAATGCGAAGCATGCGAGGTCATCAATACACGAGATTTCACTATCAGTGACACATATAAATCAGTAATTACACGTCATGGGCATTTTTAGATCAACATCTGTTATAAATTGTAAATAAAGAGAATTTAGCTAGCACATATTTTGTTGCTTAAATGGAACATATTGATCCATTATTACAATGTAAAATAAAGTCCTAAAATGGCAAGAATTCAAATTATCATAACTTTACGAATAATATGTAATAATCATATGTTATAAAATGTTATTAAAGTTTTAAAATTCAATATAGAGAGAATAAATTATAAATAAAAACCAAATTTATTATTGAAGATCTATTATTCGGTTTTACGAATTAATTAAAATTGTTTATCATACGCAAATTATATAAAGTTATGATGATCTTTTTCAAATCATGGGCGGATGTTTGTTGCGATTATTTAATATATTTCCTTAAAGAGGGAAATGATCAGTCCATGATATACGAAAAACATGAATTGTATATTATATTTGACTGAATATATAAAGGTCTTAAATGTGTATAATCCTTCGCTGAAGTTTACATAAATTAACTTAAGTCTAAGTTATCCATGACAAACCTTCGAGACGGTCGGGATTACAGTCGATATAAATTTCGATTCGGAGGTTCGTCAGTTCTAGAAGTCTTATTTAACTCAATAGCACTTTCGCGCACTCTCCGATCATTGTCCAGTTAACGGACGTGGGAGTCAAGACCACCGGACGATGTCGTTAAGTCCAGTCTCTCTTCTTTTCTTTTTCTCCAACGAACGGAACACGCTCTTAATGTTTCTGTTTCATTAATACAAAATTATAAAAAGTATAATACAGTCTTCCTCTTTGAGTGCTTTAATTCTACGTTTTCACTCTCTAATCGCTCTGCGCTAACATTTGCTATCTCGGTTTAAAGTGGGCATTCATTTCACAAAGTTCATCATCGGATGTCGCTCGATCCAGTGTCAAATCGAGCGGCAATGCTTTAGCGCCTGTTAGAATGTATATTATACGCCCCATATACGAGTAACATATAATTTATACATAAACGCCGATAAAATTTTCCATTTAACATTGCTGAGTGTACGTGGGTATCAAATCTCAGTCGTTTGCGTCTTTGAGGTCAAAGGATATTAAAAGTGTGTGCCTGAAAGAATAGCAAGCATTAAAAGAATTTTGCGTAAATTATCTCTCTCGTCAGCGTTGATACAAATACGTTGATATTAAGTACCTGTAAACATTATTGACAATGCGTGCTTGACATAAAGAAGCTACAAACATTATAGTAAATAAATTCATTCTTATATGTTTCATTACATATATTAGTTCTTTACTTCTTTATCAAATATAGAACATATGCCGATCAATTTATGTAGCACAATTGCAGGAATAAATAACATTTCTAAAAGAGCGACCTCAAAGATTTACAGATAAAAGATATATATGCGATTATTATAAAAATGTACAAGTTGAATACCTTTTTATTAACAATCAATATTCGCTATCCGGGTTTTGGCATACGATATGATGATTATAAAAATTGCTTTTTAGAAAACATCTCAATATATATTCACAAAATACACACATGCACGCACGCACCCATACACACCTTTCCTCTATGTCGCTCTTCCTTTCTTTTTTTTTTCTCTCACTTTCGCTTATTACAATATATATCCGATTGCCCGCATATACGAATCTTTTTGAACAGTTCTGTAAAGATTATTTGAAAACGTGATTCATAAGAGGTATGCCTTATATAGAGCATAACAATATATTCCATACAATATTATACTCTTTGGACAGAGCATGCACATGATTAAACACTCGTTTTAATATATCAACATTCGTTGATATTGTGTTCTGTAAGAGAAAATTCATTTTTCTTCTTTATGAAATAGAATCATTTCTCGCTCATATCATGTATCTTACGAAAAAACGTATAAATTATACATACATACATTCGCTAGTGTGTCTCGATGGATATTTTTTCGTAAAAATAAAAGAGCACGTCTTAAAAATTTCCTCCTATTGTGTTACACTATTATAGTCACAAATGGAATCGTTAGAGCACGACATCCGGTTCTATGTCCCACGTATGTACGTATTAAACTAGATTGTATTAAATTAGTGTAAAAACGTTACAGATATATACAGTACCGCTCATGATTATTCAAACGACTGCATTCGTTGAATTAATGTAATCACTGTTTCTGCTGATATTTTATTTCACGCCTTTTGTAGTAATTTATTTCACGTGTCCTTTTTGTTTATAGGAAACGTGGATTTTAATAAATAAAATAATATATCGAGGGATATAGGATAATTGAAGATAGTTCGGTGAACATTATCGCAATAATTTAAGTTGGGGGAGGGGGGTACATACACAAATTACAACCAATATAAAAATATAACTATAAAAATAGTTATTTATTCTAATTTAATGTTATCCGTGCTAGCAACAGTGTGGGCCATCAGAATAAAGTATCAAATATCTGTCGCTTGAATAATTATGAACGGTACTGTACGTATATGTGTATACCATCCAAAATAAATGGTAATATTATATATTATAAAATACGTATATATTTATAACAATAAATAAATGCATATATATATGGCAGTGATTAAGTATTGTAGCTACTCTCTGTATCTACCTTGTTTGTTCGATACCATCCAAAATAATCATCCAATAGATTGCTAGGAAACATTATATACGATATCCGAAATAAAAGGCAATATAAAATATGTATATATTTGTAAAAATAAATAAATGTATGTATATGGCAATGATTAATTATTATAGCAGCTCTCTGGATTTGTTCGTTTAATACTATAAAAAAAAAGTAGGTATCCAATAGTATAAACTTACGTTTTTGTCGATACTGACAAATCATCACGATAAATATACAAAGAACGTATGCATTCGTGACGGCTCCTTTTTTTCGATAAAAAAACTGACACCAGTGCCCGTTTCGATGGCAACTTATACGATTGCCGAATTGCAAATCCTTGGTGTTGAGAATGTGAGTGGCAAGGAGCTAATGCTCCCGTTAGAGATCAAAAGCTGTATTTCGTTTGATCGACGATAAATCATTCGTATTCGCGAATGAAGTCGTTCACTTCGATACCCTCGTTTCGGTCGTGACTTTACTGGGATCCGGTAACCTGACTACCAACTGCGCGCCGTTCTGCATCGGTCTCGGGCCGTTGCTGGGCACGCTCGACTTGGGCACACCCGCCTGAGGTATTACCGCAGGTAAAACCTTCTTCGCGCCGCTCAACTTGGGCGAACAACACTGCTTGTCGTCGTAGATATCGTTCAGATTGACGTTCGTAACGGGATTCTGGTAATTGGTTTTCATCGGCGTCCCGTGCTCCGAGTTGAAGCAATTTGGTCTTTGCTCTATGCAATTAGAATTCGGGAAAGTACTTGTCGGTGGTAGCATTTTTATCGCGTTATTGTGATCGTTAAGATTACATATCACCGACTCCGTGCCTGTTTTCTGATCGCTCTTATATATCGGCGCCGACAGTTGCGTCGAATTGGTCTTGTTCGTGCTCTTGTGACTGCTGCCGGAATAACTGGTGATGGACTCGTTGCAGAAGTCGCTCAAGTAGGTTTGATTTATGTACCAATTGTGCAGCCGGTGGTGGATTTCCGGGAACTGCGGTCTACGATTCGCCACCTCGTGCCAGCACTCGATCATCAGACTGTAAATCATCGTCGGGCAGTCTTCGGGGCACGGCAATAGTTGCCGCGAACGAATCATGTCTATAACTTCCTGATTGTTGTATCCGTAATATGGCTAAACAGGGCGACAAGTGCACAAATGAGAAAAAAATTGGAAAGCTCATTATTGCTTTCAATTTGACGATTATTTTGATTTTACCTGCAAACCGTAGCTGTAGATTTCCCAGAGTACAACTCCGAAGCTCCATACGTCCGACTCTGTGGTAAATTTACCATAAAGAATCGACTCGGGTGGCATCCATCGAACAGGAAGTAGACTCTTAGATTGTACTCTGTAATAGTCGCTGCTGTATATATCTCGCGACAGACCGAAGTCTGAGATTTTGACTGTTAGATTATCGCCTACTAGGCAATTTCTCGCTGCTAAATCGCGATGGACGTAATGATGGCTAGCCAAATATTCCATACCTAAGGAGAGAACGAGAATTATTGCACGCAATAAAATTACGTCACTCCGATCGTAAAATAAGTCAATACCCACCGGAAGCAATTTGTAAAGCAATGTGCAAAAACTCCGGCTGCTCCAGAATTTTTCCGCCACTGTTATTTAACGGAACATCCGACCTCGGGGAGTGACAGATTAGAAATTCGTGCAGGTCTCCCTGAGTCATGTATTCGAAGAGCATACACATTGGTTCCCCTTTCAGTATCACACCGAGCAAGCAAATGATATTCGGGTGTCGTAGATCCGTCATTAATTCGACTTCTCTTTTAAAATCGCTCTGAGTCTTGGGAGTCGCATTTTCCTTGAGTGTTTTTACCGCTACGTAAATAGGTGGCTCACACTTATTTCCGGTCTGCAATTCGCCCTTGTAAACTTTACCAAAAGCACCTTCGCCGAGTTCTTGCAGGAGCATGATATTATTTGTGGTAAATTGCGGTATCCTGTTATTAGAAGTTCTACTACTGCCGCTGCTTAAGGTACCAGTGCCCGGTGTCGTGTTACCAGGCCCCGCCAAGAGAGAACTCATTTCCATGGGTTGTGTCGTGCTCCTCCTTCCATCGTATATGTTCTTATCACACTGGATACTAGTTAACATCTATTAAAAATTAAGTATTGTTTCAGCGTTATCTAGTTGCAACGTGTAGTTTCAAAATATATGGATATACCGATTTACCTTATTGGATGGTAAATGATTCATTTGCCTTCTGGATTTTCTACTTCTGTAGCAGCAGCAATAACAAATTAATATAATAACAAATCCTCCCGTTAGTACAAAACCAACGACCGCGTAAATCCATAAATTCTCAACTGAAAGTACCAGAAATTTGTGTTTCTCATTAAGTTCATATGTAATCAGAGTGAAATAAATTCAATTTACAAACTCTTACCACATTTAGGTATATTGCAAAATTCTTTTTGCATTCTGTTATTGACATCGACGTAACACCATGGTTGAATTTCCTTGCCCCCGGGATTCCGGCAATAAGAATGACGTCCAGCTAACTCGGGATAATCAGAAATCGGTAGATTGAAGTGATCCGACCACCGTAAACACGGCCTTCCGCTTACGCTCGTTTTCACAGTCCCTCGATAGGATTTCCCACTACCCCAATAGCAGTAATCATCTGCAAGAAACGTCAAGATTGTCTTGACATGCGAGCTATTGATCGTAAGCTAAAATCAATTCATCAGATCGTCTTGAATTTACCAATCGTGCAGTGTAGCAAGACCAATGTAAAGTGATGGACAGAATGAGTTTAGGAACGTGCATTTAAATTCTGGGTTACGTTTCAAAATCTTCTTCTCCGAGGAATATCTTACTCGATAGCCATTCCGAGACCATTTTAAACGTTTCCGATTTATTTCTCGAGTAAGCGTTTCCTCGGAGGAAATTTTTTGGAATGTAAATTTGAATCTAAATGTTTCTAAACTCATTGGAAAAGGTGTTGCAACCATTCTGTCCATCACTGTACAACGTGAGAATTGTTAATTTTGATTCTTACGACACACGTTAGATTTGAAGTAAGAATGTATAAAGATACATACTTTCTTGCACGTTGTTCGCCACGGACAGTCCCAGCGTTAAGCAGTCACGAGCCTCAGTTGTCCCGTCCAGTGGCAAGTCAGAACATTCGACCAAAGGCACTTGATGCCCGATCAACGGATGCCTCTTCGCTATCGCGTATTCCTTCCTGCACAACTCGTTCTCCAGCATTTCGCACTCCTCGCGGCATATCCTTCGTAATTTTCGATTAATCTCGCTTCTGCTGGACGCCCGCGTGTCGCCGTAACTCTGGTTAATTATCTTCTTGTTGCTCGACTTGCCGTCCTCGTTGGGCATGAAGTCGAAAACTGGGCCCAAGGTAGGACTGCGTTTGGGAACGCTGTGCAGCCGCGAGATATCGTCCGCGTCGTCGCGGTCTCCGTCGTCTAAGAAATCGTCTTGCTTGGAATTCAGGAGGTTGAAGAGCTGCGTGCTCGCCTCCGCGTTCTTCGGCTTCTGAGCGTTGGATGGGTCGCGGCATATCGGAAAGGCGGAATAGCAAAGAGACGGCTTCGCATACCCTTCGCAATTCGACGAGAGCTCGCTGTGCGATAAAACATTACTTTTTTTCCCTCACTTTGTTTAACACCGCGATATTAACAGAGGAAAGATAGACTTGTAATATGAGACAGTAGGTTTTCAACATCCAAAATCGATCACACAATCTAACAATACATTTTCTACTAAATAGATTTCACTCCAGAGCAATAAATTCATGGTGGAGCAAACAAATGATGCCTGTTAATTTAGCAGAAACCCTTTCTCATATCAGGAGCTTATCTCGCTTCGATACGTTCCGAAGTTACTTACTTTGAAAAATTGATAACTTGAAAGGCCTTCATTAATTTCTCCTCGAGCATTTTCTGTGTCATGGGATATATAATATAAACCGACTGGTTTCCTACAAACTGTGCACAGGTTTTTCCTACATACACCTGTGAAAATGCAACGAACTCGTAAGTCGCCTCTCCGTACACCGAATGCTTTAATTCAAGTCTAGTCTTGTACAAACCTCGCAGGTTCCTTTATGATTGTCCTTTCTGCCTGAAACTGAACTTATGCTCGACATCTCGTCGAAATTCATATTAGGAGGGAATTGTATATTGCCATTAGTAAGGCCGCTGATTGTATTGAAATCCATAGTGCTGGACTGTGAGCTGGTTGGCTGTGGACTCGGCGAAAGTATGTTGAACGGGTTCGCGGACGCCAAGTGAGAGATGTGAGGCGTAGACATCCCATGCCCGGAGAGGTCCAACATGTCTCCATGTCCCATGCTGTCGCAACAAAAAGACAACGTGTCTTACATACATTCTCGCGTTTATTATTCGCTTAATGATACAAAAACGCACTGGCAGAGATTCCATTTTTCACGCCGGGTCCTCGTGACTTGGACCGAATTCGTTTCGAGCGAGTAGCCACGGCAAAATTACGTCGCCGGAGGAAACGACGATTATCGTCCGTGATATTTTTATGTGATGATTCGGACCGTAAAATAGACGCGTCGCCGTGCGAGAACATAACCCCCGGCGAGGTCGCGAAGAAAGATTGGATCTCTAGCTGACGCTCGTCGCAACTCGAGGCGACCCGTGGGAAAGCGGTCGCTATCGCAGCGCGGCTGCTTGTCAACGGGACGATAATCGACCTCGCGCTCGAAAAGGCCGCGTTATCACGGAGGGGCCAGAAACCGTACTCGCGCTCGCGTACGCCTCGACAACGTAACCTCGCGCGCGAGACTGCGCGGCGCGTTGGTTACCTCGGCTCCGTCGTACCCACGGCGTTAATTACGGCTCGTACAAAAATACACGTATTCTGCAACAATGCTAGGTACAAGAGTAGCTTCATAATTCGTGGGTCAACTATCAAAACATTTGGCTTGACGTGCAGGAGCTCGTGTCATTTCACACCACGCCCGGTGCCGTCCATTTGTAAACTAACTGCCGCGGCCAGCCTGCCTTACCGGCCGCGAGCGCCGGCGAGCGGACGGTTAGCCCGGCTCCCCGACGGATGGCGCCACGGGTCGCGATTCTCGCGTCCAAGCGTCCACGGGCTTCCACGGCCGGTGTTCATAGTCGGATCGGAGAGGAAAACCTGCGAGCAGCCGGCGTTTTACCTGATACCGTTTCGGGAGATCGTTTTGCGCGCCCTTTACGCCCATTTTTACTCCTGGGACTGTTTTATATACGCATTTTCGGACTCCGCCGAGAAGATTTCCACTTGGTGCATGTCTCTGCTACGCATTCTCACATCTGATTTATAAAATGTAAGCCGGTATTCATCGTCAGATCTTATACATATTCAAGGCAGTCTTGAATTTATCTAAAGACGCTGTACGGAGCATTTCTTTGGCTACGGAGTGTCTAAAGATCATCTTGAGACTGTCTTGAATATAAGATCTGACTACGAATACCGCCCAGTGAGAAATAAATCGTCGAAACGACGTCGAATCGACATCGATCGACGATTCATTTCTCACTGGGCGGCCTTACATTGTCTACACGAGAAAAGTAAATGTCGCGCAAATAATTAACGTCAATGTACTTTTCAATTTCACCGCACGATCCTGAAAAATAGGCGTAGCGTGGACACGCACCAAGTGGTGACTTTATCGGCAGTGCCGAAAGATGCGCGGCAACGTAGTTCCATAAGTAAAAATGGGCGCGAAGGCGCGCAGAACGGTCTCTTGAAACGGCATCGAGTAAAACGCCGGCGTGGCCGCGCTCGCGGGTTTCTCTCTGCGCTCGTGTTCAAGACCGTCTCGAGTTTGTCTAAAGACGCTGCACGGAACATCTCGTCGGCCACCTAAAGGCGACCTTAACGCGGCCTTGAATATCAAATCCACGAACACCGGGGCCGTGGAAGCCCGCGAGATCTCGATGCCGTTGCGCGCGCGTCGCGGCGCGTCGCGTCGCGCGCCTGCGCGGACGAAAGTTCAAACTCAGTTCGGCCGAGCCGGCGCCGCCATGCCAACCGTCCGGAGAATTTTTCCCGCTTCGAGCTGGGCGCGTTGCGGGAAATGACGGGCTTAAAACCAGGTAAAGTGAGTACGAAACGGCAAGTATTGGCGAAGGGATTGGCGGAATGATGAAACACACGACGCCGAGACCCCCCAGATCTCGGAATCTCGCCGTTTTTTTACGATCGATCTTCGTCCCTCCCGGCGGCCATTTTTACGCACGACATCTTCGCGGCCGCGGGCGTCTATTCTGACGAAGAAACGAGACTTGCGAGCTCGAGGGACGTCCCTCTCCTCGCGCAGCAATGAAATATCGTTGATTATCGGGCGGAAAGTAATTTGTTGGCGTTAAAGTAATAAAGCGTACGCGTTACTTCTTGCTCGGCAACGGCTTACTGTGCTCCGCGAAGCCCAGTGAGAAATGATTCGTCGATCGACGTCGAAATGATGTCGATTCGACGTCAATTCGACGGTGTCGGTGTCGATTCGACGTCGACCGACGAATCATTTCTCACTGGGAGGCGCTGGATTGTCTATTGACCCTGCCAAGAAATTTACAAAGGATTGACATTTCAGGTACAAGTCGAGTCTGACACTCACCCGTCGATGAAGCCCGGCGCGGACATTCCCGTGGAGAATTTGTCGCCCGACGGCTGTCCCATAGGGTGTTCCGGATGCATCGGGGCTGCAAAGGAAAAGCGACGTCAGATCGTACTTCGCGGAGATAAACGTGAGTGCGCAAAACGTACGACACGTTGTACAAAGCTCAGATTCTTTCTATCGTAAACCACCCTAGTATAGCACAGTGCATTGGACCGAACATTGGTTAAACATTGGCCCGGTATTCGGTTGCATCGGAATGTTCAGCCAATGCACGGTGCCACTAGGGCAGTTAATTCTCAGCAAGTTTTCTCAACCCTCTGTGTTCTAGGTTCGCTGTGAAACTATGGTGAGCTTTCGCGTTCTTTGAATTTCGTCGTTATTTTGAACTTTTTGACAGTGTAAGGTAATACTCGCTTTCGTTTAAACAGGAATACAGCAATTAATAATATTTTTTAAAGCTTTAAATGATTTTTCTTGTGTAATATATAATTATATGTATATAAGTGGTGCGTTCGATAGATGTCTGTCCTTAAAAAAAAACATTTTTTACGCTGAGCCGCAAAGGGTTAAGGAAACTTCATGTACAACGCACTCATTGATACGCAGAGATAAATCTCGGCAGTATTTGTGCTTAATTTTCAATCGTTCGATATCGTCAATTCAACAATATTATCGAACATATTAAAAACGTATAAAACTATTCGCACAATCGATTAATATTTCTGTCGTTTTCGAATTCAATCGCAGATTCCTCACACGCTTAATGATTGCACTGACGGCAATATTTTGCTGTTTAATGCCAGGGAGAAAAGTGGACTTCACTGTATTCCTTTGCGAGTCGCTCGCGCGGAGCAAGCATTCTGCGTCGCCCATTTGTCCATGAATACGAAATAGGAAACGTCGGCTAAAGACCCAAAGAGATCCCGTCTGTCTTTCCGGGCGGCGAGGCCCGACAGCTCGGAGCGCACTAACACGCGCGCGATTACGATCCGTCAAAAAGGAGACGCGACATCAAACGCCTCTGTTTGAGGAAAAGCAATTTCGCGAAGCAATCGTTTGGGCTTATTATAGGCGAAGCGATTTTCCGGAGGAGTAACGGGACGGGGGGGTCTCGTGTTCGCCTCCTGTTACCGAGGATTTGCACAGTTTCTCGTCTTCCCTTCCTACTCCGTATCTGCCTCCCTCTTCTCCTTGCAACGCGGCACAAAGCAAATAATATCGAAAATCTGAATCTACCCCTCGAGAATCCGCATGCGAGGGGTCCCGACCTCCTTCTCGGACCTAAATCCGTGAACCGCGAGGAGGGACCCCCCGTAGGGTCCTTAGGAAGTTGCATAAAGAGTCGCCAATTGCATTTCTACGCGTTCTTTAATTTCGCCAATAAGAGAAGCCGCAGCGCCTATTCCTCCAGGGGGTTGCCCTTATATTCTCTCCCAGACTCCCTAACGTGTCCCGGGCTCGCGAGATAGACTGCACCGGAGATAAGACTGTCCAAAGCAGAGCGGTATTTCGTTAGTATTTTCTCTTTTTTTTTTAAAAGAAGAAAATTCGAGAAAAATTACAAACAGTGTGACACTTGTACGGCACTTTATACGTTTCGATGTCATATAATTTGTGTATGTTGAGCTTTAATGCAAAACGTTTCTTTGTGTCACGGTAAATAATTATAGATAGTAAAGTCCCCTATTATGAGACAAGATCCTAATATGGGACAGCGGGGTTTCTGTTAAATTAACAGGCATCGTCAGTTGATTCCACCATGAATGTATTGCCCTCGGAGCGAAATCTGGTTTAGTGGAAAAAAGATTTGCGATTGAATTCGGGTGTTGAAAACCTGCTATCTCACGTTGGAAACCTATCTCATAATAGAAAGACTTTCCTCTACTTTCTATCGCGAACTTGCCAATTACGCAATTCGGAGTTTCGCGTAACAATAAATTAAGGCGTTGAACGTTACATTCTGCTGTGGTTCTTTCCAGTTCGCGTCGGACGTCGCGACGACTCGATATAACGTTGCAAAATTCAGATCCCGCTGAAGCTGAGGCTGCGCAACCACACAATGTTGCCGAGACACTCCGTGCAACATTACGTGCGACGGCAATAAAATTTTCCGCGCGATCGAGGATAACGACGATTAATCGTTTGCTCAAGTCGTTCCTCGCCGCGACGCGGGCGCGATTCCGGGTGATGATAAATACGCGGGTGCATGCGCAGCGTCACGATTACGGGCGAGGGGCACACACAATGAGACGAGAAGAGCGAGGGAGCCTCCGAGGAGCCGGTACGCACAATGTTGCGGGGCGATGCAGCCACGGCACTTGGGCGCGAGGCGGCCCACGTATTATGTATCTCGAACAGGAAGTGGAAAAGATAAGGCGGCTCGTGGTCATTAATAATCCCCGCCCACTCGCGGAACGGCTCGCATCCCCGCGACCCTAACGGCGCGCGGCGGTGACACCGTTTTACAGGGCAGTTTATATCGGGTGTCTTCGGGGGGCTTGCCAGCAATCACGAGGCAAGGCGGTGCTTTTTTCCGCAAGCTTTTTGGTGAAGTTTCAAGACGGCAGAGTTCCGTCGTTAAAATTGATTTTGCCTTGAAAGCCTATACGACCGGCAGCATTTTATTCTACACTTGACTCTCCAAACGGGCTCTTATAATATTTTAATGTACGTAAATAAATCTCGATATGTCTGTCGACAAATTGAAATATGCAGAGGAAAGTGTTCCTATTATGAGATGGGATCCTAATGTGGGATATGGGGGTTTTTGTTAAATTCATAGGCCTCAACGGTTGATTCCGCCATGAATTTATTTTTCGCCCTTGCAGCGCTTGGAGCGAAATCTGTTTAGTGGACAATTCATTGTTGAATAGCGTAATCGTTGCGAAAAAAAGATTGGTGATTGAATTTGGGTGTTGAAATCCTGCTATCTCATATTAGAAATCATATTAGAGGATTTTCCTCTATCATAAATATATATTTAAGTTGTAAATTGGAGAGGTGCGGCGTCCGAAAGAAAATACTGCTTTACAATTGTTACGGATTCTTTGGAACATCCAGTATATATGACGGTTCATTACTTACCAAGACACGCGCGGCATTCACGTGTGCGTGTGCGTGGGCGGATATCAGGAGTTTATTCCACGTGCTATTACATTTCCGATCTAATTAGGTGCCTCGGCGGACAATGGCCTATTGCGTTTTATTGAGGGAGATAAATTTGTCGCAATTAGAATTCTCGCCGTGTTACAGCTCCATGTGTAATGTTCGACGTGGCGCGTTTAAAACTCGATCTTTGTTATCAGGCGTGATTTATTGCCAATAACAGCGTGGACAATCAGTGGTTTAATTTGGAATTCATAAAAATTTACAAAAATTTACAAACGAGAAAGAATTTACGTACAAAGCATAATTATTTTAAATATATATTAAAAATATCATATATATTGTGTATTAAAAAGTTGTAATGACGTGTAATGAACATTGACAAGTTTGCGATAGAAAGTAGAGGAAAGTCCTCTATTATTAGATAGGTTTTCAACACCCAAATTCAATCGCAAATCTTTTTTCGCAACGATTACACAATCTAACAATGAATTCTCCGCTAAACAGATTTCGCTCCAAGGGCAATAAATTCACGGTGGAATCAACCGATGATGCCTATTAATTTAACAGAAATCCCACTGTCCCATATTAGGATCCTAGCTCATAATAGGGAACTTTACTATTCTATAATATTATATTATTTACTGTGACACAAAGACACGTTTTACATTAAAGCTCAATATATATATATTAATATACTATTTGATGCAAAACAATAAATTTGATAAGCAGATAAAGTTAAATCAGGACCTCTATGATATAAATCAAATAGAAAACGAGAACGCCAAAGCAATTCTTAGGTCCGAGCAGGATGAAGGTAGCCCAACAATTTTTAATTTAATACGCGAATTCAATAAATTGTATAATATATAACGTTATGCACATATAATACTATTACTATGATTAGAAAATGTAAATGTTGTTGTAGAAACGGCGTTATCTTAAAATCATGTAAATGGAATATCTCAAAAGAAGATAAATGCATCGGAACAAGATAAATGTAAGAGCATTATTATCTGTATACACTTTAATTAGCTCTTCAATTGGAATACTCATTAACGGCTCATGGCGCGTGCAAACCACATTCGTTGTTGAAGTGCTTTATGGACTTTCGTAGACGAAGAAGGCGGCATGAAAAGAGCCGCGTGCGCTCTTCGATAGTCATTCGCGGGACCGCACACGTACGCCTCGCATGCTCGTACGTCGTAGTCAATGAGAGAGGTCGTTGATCATTGGTCAGGCAAGATTAATGATGCCCGTGCACGTGCACCAGTCTCGTGTGCGTGGCAATCCGGACCGGCAAACGGATTTGAAGCGAATTTCAGCCGTTGTACAGACTTCCTCTACGAATCGCTGAGTAAGACATCGATTTGTTGTTACAGGCTTATTAATTCTTGTTCCCGTAGTTTATTAGCAACTCAGCGCTCAGTCTCTAATTCAACGAAATTGATCGCGAGATATTTTAACGCGTTCTTTATAAAATTCGCGTAGATTTATTTGACGGTAAAGATTTTTAATTGCGCGCGTATTCAAAAATTCAAGGGGTTACGAATGAAACTTTAAATATGAATAATTATTTTTTTTTAGGTGTACGAAAGCTATGGATTGTATTTTAGCGAAATTGCTATCTTCGTAACTATACTACGAAAATATTTACTCAATTTTAAAATTGCGTCGGAAAATTGCAAGATATAATGACAATTGTCGATTCTTTTGTCAAGAAAAGTTCCTTCAAGTTAATGAACAATCGTGTCAAAATTAAAGTTTGGCGTGTCGCTGGCAAAATTGGTGCAGAATATTTTAAAGAGATCATAAAACAAAATCATTCGTTTGGCGACAGTTAATTAAAAGTGTTTTAAGAGCAAAATGTTCTAAATGATAAAGAAACAACAATAACTTTCTAAGCTAAAATTGAACTAAAATTAAAGTATGAGGTCGATACGTTTTATCGACGATACGAGTCACAGACCCGATTGC